TTTCTCAAAATTGTAGACTTAAAGCAATTCATTTTGCTATTGTCCTAAAATATTTGCAGAAGCAGAGAATAAACCAGGCTACACATATAGCAGAAATTTAGTATCAGATGCAAGTAAAACCGTCCCTCACTCTCCTTTTCTTTGTTCTTGAAGGCGCTTATGTATTGGTTTTATGGGTAGGAAGGAAAGAATACTGTATTACTAAGTATATCACTGACTGTGGTTTTCACATCCAATGTTTGGATTCTCAAAATAAATGAGAAGTCAGTGCCTGAATTTTAAAAAGATACTGAAGCATTTTAAATATGCTATTACCTACTTGTCATTTCGTTGATATTTTATTTTGACCTGCCGAAGAGTTCTTAGCAGCCTTGTGTTCAGAAACAATAGATTTTATTAACATGGATGAAAGATAAGTTATTCATAAAAATAAAATAAATACAAATCATTAACTTAAAAAATTTTATTCCCAAACTTTTCTAAATCATAATCGGAGTCATTTTCCCTTGTAAGTCAAGAATATTTGCTCTGTGAACCCATGATGGCAAAAAATTACTATCATCTTTTTGCATTTCACATGTTTGCTTGAAAAATAATATCGAATGCAAACTACTGATTAAGAAAACTTTAATATAATAAATACAACTACAAGAGGTTCTGTTCATGCAGTTATTAGTGTCATCCAAGTGAGTTCATGTCCATTATTTGGCTACTGCCAAAGGTTCATTAAAGATTTAAATCTTAAAGCACTTGATCGCTGACCCCTTGCCTCCCTTAGAGGCCATCTTCTCTTAAAATGTTTGGGGTGAAAGCAATTTGTCTGTTATTTACTATTGGATCAGTGTAGCCCATACCTGACTTCTGTGATGTTGCCAAATTTCTAACGCTATTATCGGGATTTATTTTCTTTGCTAGTTTGCTACTCTTTGCTTTATTTCCCCTGATACAGTTAAAATGAGGTGGATGTTTGGAAAAACTTATTTGCCAAAGTTTTGGGGAAAACAAAGAATGCTAGACCTCACTTTTCTCAGAAATACAACTACCATACCATACGAAAACATGGCTTCTGACCATAGACCTGGCTTTTAAAAAAAATCATCTTGAGATTCCACTTTCTTGAGCTAGTTCAACCCACCCTTTTTTTCAGGATCCCAACCAAAATCTCTGGAAAGTCTTTCTGTTTAAATATATTTAACTTGAGTATTGAGTTATGTCTGATGGGTCTTAAGTTTTGTTTCTGTTTTTGTTTTTTTTAAAGATTTTATTTATTTATTTGACAGAGAGAGACACAGCGAGAGAGGGAACACAAGCAGGGGGAGTGGGAGAGGGAGAAGCAGGCTCCCCACGGAGCAGGGAGCCTGATGCGGGGCTCAGTCCCAGGACCTGGGACCATGACCTGAGCCGAAGGCAGTCGCTTAACGACTGAGCCACCCAGGCGCCCCAGGTCTTAAGTTTTATAGCTACACAGACCCATTGGTGACTTTACCTACATTTAGAGAAATAGTGTTCTTCTTAAGAAAAAACATTTCCTCTTGCTGAACCAGTGGGCTCAAATGGCAGCCAATTTTCACACTAACTTTCATTCAGTTAGACCGAGTTAACATATAATTTAATTGACTCAAACAAATATACATATTGCAAACTCCGTTGGAGAGGACTGAAGGTGAGAAGGTCATTTAAAAGCCTTTTCATTAGATCAGGAGTGAATATACAGGAGCAGAAGTAGGAATAGAAAAAAGAGAGGGCTTCACAGGTCTTGATGGATTGGATGTGGGGCTAGAAGAGAACGTGATTCTGCAAGCTGTTTTGGAGTTTGGAGCATTGAAAAGTGGCAGTCTTCCGGTGCCATTGTCAGAGAATGGGAGTCACGGGACAGGTCCAGTGTGAGGGGAAAAAATATTATGACTTAGAAGTGACTTTGTGTCATTGGGTAAAAATGTCCAGCAGGCTGTGGAGATACAGGCGGAAAGCTCAGAAAGGCGGTTGACATTTGTGATATAAATTTGTATTTCAGGGTAACAGTTGAAACCCTGAAAATCAGTGGGTTTGAGAAGAGAGTGTGGAGAAAGAAGTAAGAGACTGCTGATTAGTTCACACTTACTTCTGCTTCTCTCTTTAAATATGGTTACCACTGATGTGTTCTTAGTTCGGCAAAAACAGGTGAAAAGGCTTTCAAGAAGGATAAAATTTTTAATCTGTAGAGAATAGATTTTTTTTTATCTATAAACACACTATTCATACAATAGCTTAAATACTTTATGATAACTCTGTGTTACGATAATAGGTAACACTTTTTTAATACTAACTATATACCAAGTGCTGATATACATGTAATAACTCATTTATCCTTGCATAAGTCTTATCATATAGGTACTAACTTATTATTACTATTTTAAATACTTTATTTATTTATTGGAGAGAGAGAGAGCTCACTTGTGAGAGAGCATGAACTGGTAGGGGAGGGGTAGAGGGAGAGGGAGAAGCAGACTCCCTGCTGAGCAGAGAGCCCAAAGGACAGACATGGGGATCAATCCCAGGATTGACCCGACCTGAGCTGAAGGCAGATGCTTAACCAACTGAGTCACCCAAGTGCCCCAATAGCTTATTATTTTTATCAGTACCTTTTTACAAAGAAGAAAAGAGAGGTGCAGAGATGTTAAATAACTTCTCTAAGGTCCTGTTGCTATTAAGTGGTGTAGCTGGGATCTGAACCTAAGTAGTCTGTTTCCAAACACTTACATTAGCCACTGTGCTCTCTGCCCTCAGATAAAATCATCCCTATTTAACAGTCTTTTCTTTCCCCTCTGAAACAGCTTTTTATTGAACAGCAAAGCAAAATTGCAACACAATTTTAAATGTTTGTGTTAGGTCACAAAAGGGATGCAAAGTGTTTTCAGATTATTATATTCATACAGCTAAAGTATTCATTGAATCTTACACCAATACAAACAGAAGATTATTCCATGACTAAGAGTAACCCAAATTGGGGTACCTGGGTGTCTCAGTCAGTTAAGCATCTTACTTTTGATCTCATTCAGGTCTTGATTTTGGGGTCCTGAGTTCAGGCCCCATGTAAGGCTCTATGCTGGATGTGGAGTGTACTTAAAAAAAAAAAAAGAGTAGCCCAAATCTAATAACCAAAACTATATTAGTATCAGAAGTAATATTAAAATGTTAAATAGCAAAAGATATCCACTAATTTTATTACTAAATGGAATCTACAAACTAAATTTTTAGAAACTGTAAAAAGAATGACTAAAACTGTAAACTAAGTAGTTAGGCTTACAGAAAATTCTGGAAAAGTAGTGAAATAAAATACTGAGAAAATAATCAATTAGTATGCATGTAAAACTCTCCCATTTTATTCATGATTCTGATACTAATACACTGTAAAGCGATTTTGTAAAAGTTGATCTGCTGGGTGCTACAAATAAACCTTGAGGCTAAACTCTGTAACTATTGTCTTCTAGATGTGGTTTACTTGAGATTAGTCACATTTAATCTACTTTCATGTATGTATTCCCAGAAAGATCTAGTCTCTACCAGAGATCACACAATCTGTAGTAAAAACATTTGGAGTTGGTTACTACTGTTTGCCAAGTACTTTTCCCATCCTATTTCTATTTTTCCTCAAAACTTTCTATTTCAAATGTGTAACCAGAGCTCATCTTTTCAGATGCCAAGTGGATTATTTTGTCTACACAACAGTCTTTGATAGGCCTTTTCCAACATGGTTCTGCTTTACAAGTAGTCACATGGTTATTCTGTTTTATGTGAAGAAAAGATGACTCTCTTAGGGCTACATGTTGACATATTACTTGATAGGTTGTGGATGTTTCACATCATATTTTTAATAGTTTAGTAGATAGCATCTGATTTGAAAGGAAATATATCAGTACATCATGTTGTAAAGAGAATGTGTTATGACAAAATGATCTGCTAGGGTCTACTATATGCAGATCAGTTGTCAAGCTAAAAAGCAGTGCTGACATTTTGAAATAATAAAATGTTTATATTATAAGCAAGGCTGAATAGTGCACACAGTTTAATGCATCTATGAATTAAGCCTCAAACATCACTGGTATTCATTGGTGAGGTTGGGATAATACTCTCCACCACCACACCAATTTTCTGTTGATTTAAGTAACTATGAAATTGGAGAGTAGTTTCTTCCTAAGTTTCTCAGATTTATTATACCAGAGTATTTTCTCTTGGTGCAGGCTTGGGCTGGATTTACATCACAATATCACATTCACTCATTTTTTTAAAGATTTATTTATTTATTTGAGAGAGAGAGAGAGTGAGCAAGAGCGAGTGTGAGTGGGAGGAGGGGCAGAGGGAGAAGGAGAGAGAGAATCCTCAAGCAGACTCCTCACTGAGCATGGAGCCCAATGCAGGACTCAATCCCAGGACCCAGAGATCATGACCTGAGTTACAATCAAGAGTTGGATGCTTAACGGACTGAGCCACACAAATACCCCTCACATTCATTCATTTTAATAATAAGTCACTGCACAATCATTTCTAGTCACTGTCCCAAGTTTTGTTTAGATAATGTCAGAAAATGCACAGAAGGATATAGCACAAGGATATCCAAGGCAAGTCTGTGAACAAAATTTAGAGAACCAGAGGTGGAAATAGGGCACAATTGCAAAATACCAAGAACCAGAGATCAAGATGGAGCTGGGTCCAAGAGCTGGTAAATACTAAATAGTATGAACACATACGAACCAGAGATGATTAGATGGCAAAAACCAGATGAATATTGCTTCATTTCACAAACATGTTACATAACCTATGGTAGACATTTGAGATACAGAGATGACTATATTTTCTTGTCCTTGAGAGTGTATGCATGGATCTCTTTCCACTTGGAATTGGCATGGTCACCAAAGTATTTCTAGGAAGTGACATGTTTTTTATTTGTAGGCTCTGTGCTATAAGACTGTGAGACAGTGATATTCCTTGCTTTGTGCTTTTGTTTTGTTTTTCTTGTGCAGGTTGTTTTTCAAGGTCAAATAATTTCAACTCCTGAACAGGATGAAGTCATAGCTATTGATGATATATCTTTCAGTTCAGGCTGCTTGCCTGCAAATGGTAAGAACTTTTTCTCATTTTGATCCTTATTCTGTACATAAATTCAGTGCATTTTAAACATTGTGTAATGATTTTCATTCTTTGAATGAAATGAAAGCGTTGTATAATGCTCTTTCTTTCTTTCTTTCTTTCTTTCTTTCTTTCTTTCTTTCTTTCTTTCTTTCTTTCTTTTCTTTCTTTTGCCTGATGTTTTGAAGTGGGCTATTTTCCATCATATAACAATGTCTAGGTTTATGCCAGAAGTGAAAATAGGCTATTTTTTCACTGAGTCTGATGCTCTAAAGAGTGGAAGTGATAATTTAGTCTCAGATTTGAAACATTGTAGCAATGTTTACACTGGCTAGTTAAATCTCACCAAGAGAACTCCTTGCCCTTTAGGAGACTAGGTGAAAACTGGCTTCTCTAGGCTTGAAATTGTCTTCTTGGGGAATTGATTTGACTCTTCCACTGAAAGACACAAGTGGAGAGAGATATTAGTTATAATCTATTTTCTATTTAGACTGAAACAACTAAATCAATAAGCCACATACACCAGATCTAAAAAATTATCCATATTGGTCCTTTGATTATATTAACTGAATTCTATTCAATTCACCATGCATATTGTTCTCAATAGAAAAGTTTAATGTTCAAATTATCAATTGGTCAGGATAAATTAATTTAGTCTAATGATCATGCAAGAATCATATATACGATTATAGATAGTTGATAGCTTTTTTTCCTTTTTAAATGTTATGATATAGCATAATATGTGTGTGCTTTTTTTTTTTTTAAAGATTTTATTTATTTGAGAGAGAGAATGAGAGACAGAGAGCACGAGAGGGAAGAGGGTCAGAGGGAGAAGCAGACTCCCCACTGAGCAGGGAGCCTGATGTGGGACTCGATCCCGGGACTCCAGGATCATGACCTGAGCCGAAGGCAGTCGCTTAACCAACTGAGCCACCCAGGCGCCCCTATGATATAGCATAATAAAGACAGCTATTTTGTAAAGAAGATTCTAAGTTCTAATTTGGTACAAAGATATGGTAGTTGTGGTCAGTTACGTTTCAAGAACAGAAGAGATGAGTTGATCTACCTAAAGGAGACCAAGGAATCTTGATAAAGGATGCCTGTATTATGCTTTGATTTTAAGTAGCACTTGTGCTGGTATGATAAGAGATTTATAGGAATGTGTCTCTTGCCACTTAGACCATGGTAGAGTTTTATAGGAGCTGCGGACAGCTCCTTCCACACTGGAATACGAAAAGATTTCTTTCATTTTTATATTTTCAGTTCTCAGTATATTTTAGATGAGAAATCATGATATGATATGATAAAATGAAATATAGATAAATTGAAATGGAGAACTTTAAGGGAACAGACTGTAAGCTCCACCCATTTCCTAGAAGTATAAACCTCAATGCCTTTTCACTGACAGAAGGTAACATTTACAGGATTTATTGGAAGGGAAGCAATAGATCAGGAGAGAACATACTGTTGCCCACAGGCAGAGCAGACACAACTACGTCTGTTCTGCCGTTCAGTCTCTCCTCATGCTCTCTCTTCTGTTACCCTGCATGGTATTCCTGGGTCCAGAGTGCGGCCAGCTTGGGCTTGATTTGTAATGGGGCAGCTAGTCCCTAACTGTGATCACTTCAGCAGGATCTTTATATATCTCATTTTATAGTTTCTGCAGAAACTGAGATCTGCCAAACATGATCCCCAGCTAGTCCTATGTATTGCTCAGTCTAGCTAATCACCCCCCAAAGAAAATAAGGAATGAAATCAGCTATTGGCTGGACTTTTCCTAACTGTAAGGAAAATTAGGACCTGGCCTCTGCCATTGAAACTTTGCATTACAAATGTACACAGGAGCATGCTGGGGTTGTGCTTGGGACTTGACATCGCCTGTAATAGGACTCTGCTATCATTTCACAGATGAACTTTCTCTCCATCTTTGGACCTGGGAACCAAAGCCATTTCCTTAATTACCCATGATCCATCTACTGGGACAAAGGTCAATGTAGATGGACGTAATAAATATTCCAAAGACAAATGCCAGATTTTTAGTAAGCACTTAAAAAAGCTCTATAAGATCACTATAGAAGTGAAAAAGCAATAGTCACAGGAGTGAGAGCACAAGAAGTTGGACATTCAATGAAAGGTCATGGTCAAATAGAAAAAATATTGGTGTCTATAATTTCTAAGACGATAGTTCCAGATAATGTTACAACCATATTGTTTTTGAGGTGGTGTGGAAATAAAGTTTACTGAAGATAAGGCATGAATTTTAAAGCAAAGTTATTGGCTAGACCTTTCACATGGATATTAAATTCATACAACATTACAAGGTTTGGGATTAGAGGAGATTTTGAAATCCCAGACTGAAGTCTTCCATGAATATGGATGCATGGATGACCCAGGGCAGTAAGTTGGATGTCATGAGCCAAGACGTTTCCACACACAGAAGAATAAATGAATCAACATCAGGGATTTAGAAGAATGGCGACTTTAATTTTAGGCCTTGTGTTTACTGGGGCATTGGGAAAGGATGTCATCCCTCTGGAGAAGTGCAAAGAAGTAGTTTCTTTTTGGAAAAAGACAGTATCCAGGTAAGGTCACACAGTATGTTCTTTGAAGTTGAGGGTGCAGGGAGTTTTGTTTTTTGTTTTTCAAATAGAATGAGGGTTGATGACATATTTAAACTTTTGGGAGGAAGACAAAGCAGCATGAGGATTAATAATGGAGAAAAAGAATAAAGTGTAATGGAATAAGATTGATATTTGGTTGGAGTTGCATTTTGTAAATGGTAGGGATGTGAGATATGGTAATATTATATAACATTAAATTTCCAAATGATTCTCTCTAGTCAAGTTCAGAGGCTCTAATGATAGACTAACCCTAGTCAATCACCAGAATCAAAAAGAGAAGTGATTGATTCTGAGCTTTACCCCAGACTGCTAGATGGGAATCACTGAGGATGGGGCCTGCATTTTAAAAAGGTTCTCAGGACACTTTTTGTGAAGCCAGCCGACCTCAGGTTTAAGAATTGAACTAGGATTTGGGATGCCTGGGCGGCTCAGTCGGTTAATTACTGGACTCTTGATTTTGGCTCAGGTCATGATCTCAGGGTCATGGAGCCTGCTCTCTCTCCGTCTTTTTCTCCCTCTCCCTCTGATCCCCCACCCCCAACCCTGCCCCTGCATGCATGCCCGTACTCTCTTGCTCTTAAAAAAAAAAAAGAAGAACCAAACTAGCATTTGGGAACCATGTGTCCTGGTCTCATGTTGATTACTGCACTTGGCACTGAGTGTTCTGGGACAGAGTGTCAGCTGAATAGAGAGTGGTTTCAGTCTCATGCAGTCCTGATGGTGATGATCAGGGTGCATCTGAGACATGTAGGCAGAGCCAACTCAGCCTTTTCCAGACATCACCATCAGAAATATTACCCCAGTGAAGGGTGGAGTTAGGCATGCATTTGAATGCAAGAAAAGAGGAGTTTTCTTAGGTGACTTAAGAAAACAAGAGGAGATGGACAGTTATGATGTGATTCTTCAACTTTGATACTGTTAAAGTCAAGGACTAAGGGATTTCCTTGGTATTTGCTTCATGCTTACATTCTTGAAATGACTGTTGAGGTTCTCTACATCTCACATCCAGGGCAGGAGGAAGGCAGAAATGAGAAAGGGCAATGTTTTTGGCCATGCTATTGGCTAGATGATTGTCACATGGGTACCTTGGTTGCTAGGCAGACCAATAAAACTGAGGCAGATTCAGCCTCTGTAATAGAGGCAGGCAAGGAGAACAGGTTTATGAGCTGTGTGAGCAAATATTTTCCAGAGAAACTCAACATCAGCATACTTAGAAGTAAATTCCAGTTTTCTTTCAAATCTGTTCCCTTGCCTATATTCTCTTTTTAAATTATTGACATCTGGTCTCACTCAGTAGCCTAGGAGTCATTCTTAAATCATTCTCCCCTTTTCTTACCCCTGTATTAATTTAGTTAAAAAATAGTGGTGAGGGCGTGTCCTTACATTTTTCAAATTGTCTCCTCTTATTTATCATTATTATTTATCCAACTGTGACTTCATTTAAGTATGTATTTTTCCCCTGGATTTTTAAAAATTCTGGTTTTGATCTATTCAGCTCTACTATCCAGTACTATGTACTGTCCACCAGATTATACTTCCTAACATATAAATATGACCAATCTCTACTTGTTAAAATCTATCAATAACTCTTATTGTGTCCAGAATAAAATTCAAAAAATTTTTAAAGATTTTATTTATTTATTTGAGAAAGAGAGAATGAGAGACAGAGAGCACGAGAGGGAAGAGGGTCAGAGGGAGAAGCAGACACCCTGCTGAGCAGGGAGCCTGATGTGGGACTCGATCCCAGGACTTCAGGATCATGACCTGAGCTGAAGGCAGTCACTTAACCAACTGAGCCACCCAGGTGCCCCAAATTCAAATTTCTTATAAATTCTCATGATTTCAAATTTCTAAGCTCTCGTGATCCTGCTCTCGCACACCAGCCCAACTTCCTCCTTCACAGTTGTACAAGAATCCCCAGACTCGGGCCAGAACAAACTGCTTGGTAGTTTAGCAACACAGTGTCATCTCATTCTTGGGTATCTTTGTAAACTTTGCTCCCTTGGCCTATTTCATGACTTTTTTTTTTTTTTTTGTGACTGTCCTCCTACTACTTATTCTTCCAGATTGAGCAGACTGAGTGGAGGTCTCTTTTCTGGGAAGCCTTCTCTTACAGAAAATTCCCCCCCCACTACCCGCCCCCCCCCCATGCACCGTATTGATTTATTTTCATAGCTAAACACTAAGTTTCTTGAGGAAACAGTTACTAGTGTCTTAGTGCTTTGTGGGTCTCCAGCACAGAGCAAACATTTAATAAATATATGTCAACTAAATGACTCAACACTGAACATGTGCAATTATTTAAGTATCAAGTATTTGGGAATTTGAATAAATTCTTCTTTCCTCTGAGCTACAAGTGCTCCATTTCAT